TGGGGGCTTCAAGGGTCTTGCTGCATCTCCTATCTCAGGTCAGTCCATTGTAGCGTGGACCGAGCATCTGCCAAAACCTCCGTTCCTAATGCTCCCATTGGCTGGAATTGCACGAAAAAACAGCACTTCTACCCTGCATGGCCTCCTGATTGGTCACGTACTGCGCCTGTTGCCACCCTGGAAGCTTCAGGAGGAGATGCAATGGCGACCTGTACAGCCACACTGCTCCACCCTCTCCCTGGAATTGCCACACACTTCCTGCTGGGGCCAAAACCAACGAGATGGCGGCCTGACCGGAAGCTCCACGAAGAGGTGCAACGGCAGCCTGGCCGGAAGCTCCATGAGGGAATGCAAATGGCGGTACGGGAAAGACTGATAACCCCTTCCTGACCTGGTACCTTGCATGTACTACTTCATGAACAAGGGAGGCACCTTGCCCCCTAGCACAAAAGTCTAGCTCACAACAAGCGTTACGATGTCCTGCTTGGCCGGAGAAACCCCCCCAAAAAAACAAAACCAACTGAGGTATGCAAGTCACGTGCTTTTTGAAAAATTTTATTAGGTGTGGGTGATGTTTCCTGATCTGGTGGGAGGAGCCCATCTCTGATGCTGTCCTGGAAGGTGACTAGCAAGAAGTCAAGGCAACTGGACTTGCTGTATTTTTGTTAAAGACGCTTCACTGGACATCCGACCAGCTTTCTCAATTCAGAATGACTTGTACAAAAATTATCTGGGAATAAATGGTGAATGTTGCTCCAATCCACATAATCTGCTACTCACAACCAGCATGGGGGTAAGGTGTTTACAGCATTTGCATAAATATGCATGGTGTAAGAGGTCATTTATGTAAAAATGGAGAAGCCAAGCAAATAGAGGTGAGGGTGTGAGACATCTATTGCCCGCCACATAGTGCTGTTTTATCACCTATGGGCAGGTTCTTAACACCCACTAGCTCCAATTATGCAAATAATCACCTTACCTCCATGAGGTCTGACCCATTTTTGGTACCGACTAAGACTATGTGGATTGGAGCAACATTCACCATATTTATGCCCAGATAATTTTTTGTTCAAGTCATTCTTAATTGAGAAAGCTGGTAGGATGACCAGTGAAAATACAGCAAGTCCAGTTGCCTGACTTATTTTCTTACAGACGTAGTGCATGCAGGTCTATGGACTTACTCCAAGGGGTAGGTAACCTTGGCACTCCATATGTTGTGAAACTTTAAATGCCATCATCCCTCTGCCTCTGGAAGTTGTGCCTTTCTTCAATGACTCATGGGACTTCTAGTTCCACATCAGCTAGGGTGCCAAGGTTGCCTATCCCTGCTCCATTAGTACTGTGCACAGGGGCATATCTAGCACAAGGCGCACAAGGCAAACAAGGCGTTTGCCTCGGGCGGCATTTTCCAGGGGGGCGGCCGGTGAGCAGAGGGGACCGTGAGCGGGACAGCTTCGCATTCCGACTATTACGAAATAACGGATATTCCGAAACGAAACAGAACGAATTTTGACGGCGCACAAGTCTAACATGAGGTAAATGCTCGGACCGTATCTCAGGGTCTGATGAGGAAGCCGCAGCCGTTCTCAGTGAACAGCTTCCTCATCAGACCCTGAGATACTGTGTATGTGCGGTTTACTGTCAGTGTGTGCCAGTACGGGACGGTCACTCATCCCAATCATTCTCTTTCCTCCCCTGTACGCTGCACAAGTACACAGTCTCCCCCCCTCGTGCCTCAGCCCAGTCAAAACGGAATGATTAAGTTCCTCCATCTCCCTAGGGGACCGTGGGGGGAGGGGGCACTGTGTACTTGCAGAGCGTGCAGGGGAGGAAACAGAATGATCGGGACGAGAAGGTAATGTCTTCCCCTGCCTGCCCTTAATGATAATAACTGCCGGGCTGTGGCAGCATCACTGCTTTCCAGCAGCTCCGTCTCTGGAACGCAACTGGTGTGAACAAGCCCAGAGGGGTTTATAGAAGCCTAGGGATCATCCAGAGGTTCTGGGAGAGATGAGCAATTTCTACTTCTCACATATGTTATCCCTGACACCAGTAAACTTCCCAGCTATCTATTCAGATCACCATACACCTTACAATCCGTCATACAATCTGTTCAATCTACTTCAGATTTTCCAAAACTATCGTTTTGTATGTAATCTGCCAGGCCCTTCCTATACATGGAAGTTGGTACCGGTAGATTGTACAGTCAGATTGTAATGAGTGTGGGGCGCTTAAAGTGACCTCAGTCAAAATCACTGCCTCTCTTCTCCCGGCCGAAGATCTCTACTGAGCATGCGCCCACCTCATCATCCTTTGCGGCTGCCCGAGACACAGGTAACTTTTAACCTTTGTTACTTTTGCTTTGTAATGTTTTTGCATATATCTACTGCTTGCCGGCTGATTTATATATACACACACCGCTTGCTAGCAGTAGATATACAAAAAAACACGAGGTTTAAATTGTCCTTTAAGGGGACGTTTCACTTTCCTCCGACTAGCCATGGGGGGGGAGCCCAAATCTAGTGTTGCCTAGGGCAGCACAAAACCTAAATACACCACTGACTGTGCAAGAGGCAAATAGGGATGCACCAATACCGGTTTCTCAGTATGAAGTAGCGATTTTATTTTTTGGTACTTGCCGATACTAAAGTCCCATTAAGGAAACCAGGCAGTGTGCAATGACTCGCCACCTGATTAGCCATCTCCATGCTTTGTCACTAGGTGATGAGAAAGCATGGCCAATCAGGAAGCTGGGCACCATGTAACGATGCAGCGCCCGGCTTCCCGACATGCTCCCTCGCCATGAGGTTAAGAGGGAGCATGAAGCTGGCTTCCCGATACCAGAAGCTGGAGTATGGGGCTAGGCTGCAGAGCGTTCGGGCGAGTACCCGCCCAAATAGTCATCAATGCATCCCTAGAGGCAAGTATACACTTGGGCCCCATTCACACCTGACCGTTTTGTAGCACGTCCTACGCTCGATGAACGCTCTACAAAACGGTCAGAAAAATAAATAGCATTGTAGTCAATGGTACCGTTCCCACCTGTCCGTATTTCCGCCCGTCCCGAGCGCACTACAAAACGGCCCACGCATGAAAAGGTCCCGGAGCATTTTTTGCTGCGTATTGGTCCGTTTTGTAGGGCGTTTTCCATTTGTATACTGCCAAAGTAGCCTTTGGAATCGCGCGACTTTTTACCGCAAATCGCGGTAAAACGCATGACAGATGCGCATATTACAATACGCATGGGTGTGAATGGGGCCTTGAAGTGGGGGGCCTAAAGCACAAGTTTTCAATCTTTACTCCCTCCCCATAATGCTTTTCTTTTGAAAGTGGAACTACAACCCTCTACAGAATGTGTGTGTATAATATATAAATATATATTTATAACACACACCTTGGCCATGACACCAGTCATTTGAGGGCTTGAAAGTCTGGTCGAGCTGAACTACGCACACTGACAAGCTTGACAGTTGTCATGCCTGACTACGTTTGTGGGGGAAGGGAGATTAAAATTGGTGGGTGAAGTTCTGCTTCAAATGGAAAAGGTTTTTGTAAATAAATGTAAACCCCCCCAAACAACCTTCCCAATGGATTAATACCCCAAGAGGTAAGAGTCTCCACAGGGGGATTCTAGAAATTGTAGTAGGCTGTCCTAGTGTCAGATCTACTGAAGCATTTTCATGCCATTTTACCGTCAAAAGGCATCTGACATTATCATAATTCTAGATTTGGGCCGCCATATTTCCACAGCTTACAATTAGGAATGCACCGATATAGCGGCCGAAAGACACTTTTGGCATACCGAAAGTGCAATTTTTCAGCCGATACATCGGTGCATTCCTGCTTTTTCCTCCCCGCTGGGCGCTGCTCTGTGTCCCAGCGGGGAGGAAGGGACTGATAGCCGGCCGAGCACTGAGCGGCCGGCGTCTCCTCCCATCAGAGTGCTGTGTGGGAGGGAGACAGGTCGTGCTGTCACATGAGGCACAGCTCTCCTCCCTACACCGCTCATCAGCCTCCTGTGACAGCGTGTCAGAGGAGAGCAGGTACAAACACTCAAACGCTGCATGTTTGTACATAGAGGATATGGTTACTATATCCTCAATGATGAATGGGAAGTGATCTACATCCCCTCCTGTTCATTCATGATTGTGGTTATAGTAAACATACTCTGTCCTCATGTTATGAATGAACAGGAACACTCAGTATAGAGGATTCCTGTTCATTGATAACAAGGGCTGCAGAGAAAGAGATTGAGGACTCTGGGTCCTCAATCTTTTAAAACAGAAAAAGTGAAATAGCAGGGATCTGTTTAGAGCCCTAATATTTCCCCAAAGTCACTAAAAGTAAAAAATGCATTTTAAAAAGAAGAAAATTAGTTTCTAAAAAATAAAATATTTGAAAAAATTAAACTAACACATTTTTGGTATCGGTTTCGACTTTGGCATTTTTTTTAATTTCGGTTTTACAATATCTATTTCAGTGCACCTCTACTTACAATCTCAATTTGTGTACTTGTCCTGACAAACTGCTACAAAAAAAAAGAACCCTCCCCAAGAAACCAGACAAGCCTTATTAATTGTTTATATTTTTATTTATATTGTGTTCTGCAAAGACCAGAACTTGTGGAAAAATGAAACAAAAATGAGGATGGTTACAAGATGCAATTAAACTCCAGCGACAGTGCGAAGTTGATTGAGAAGGAATGCTTGTGATGTAAGACTAGGGATAAAGATGAAAGTTCCTTTAAAGCTGGCCACAGTCAGCAATCACAAGTTTCTTATTGGTCTTCCCTGTCTGAGTACCACAGCTTTCCATTTTTCTCACAACATCCATGCCGTCAACAACTGACCCGAACACAACGTGCTTTCCATCGAGCCTGCAAAAGAAGCACCAGGTGATTGAGTAGTTCAACATCAGCCACAGAAATAGTACATTTTGGCTAACCCCATCGAATTGTACAATACCCATTGGCTTAAATCCAAGCTGGCCAGACGTTTAAACTACTTCCTACCTGGCCCTTTCAGAATGCTATCTGCCTGGCTGTCCTAGGTTTCCATCCTCCTGAACTCAAGTCTTTGACATGCAAAGTTCTGACTGAAATCTAGATTAGCACGCAATGCAATCAATGAAATCTGGGTATTTGTGTTAAAGTTTAAACATCTTTGTATTATAACTCAGTGTCTCATGTCAACAGAACAGGTACATTCTTGTATTGAAACCAGTTCTTTATTCTGCCCAAAGGGAAATCAGTGGTTACATGTTTAGAGGCAATTTGATGAATGGCATGTTGAGGTACAGGCTGCACCCAAGTCCCAGTATGGCGAAAGGCAAATGGCACAGGTGTCACCAACATACTATAATTGTACCTCATGGGTGTTTACTTCTTGCTCCTCTCCATGTTTTTCATCCTGGAGCTTCCAGCACTCCCTTGTTGGGTTCTTCCTCATGTAGACAACACAGCCAGTAAGCCAGGGCTTGACAAATCACAAGTGCAAGGTCATCATGGTGACTAGAAATTGCATCCTGGCACCTGGGCTTTTGTCAGCCTGTCCACTGCCGCCACTACATCAGCTCTGCGGTCATCTCCTTCGATCCCCTGCTCATATCAGCGGAGATTGGAAGCCGACAGGGACTGTTGCAGCCAGCGCCCAGCAGAGACGTGCTGCAACACTGCACACCCCCCACCCTTCAAACAGCTGCCTGCAAAATGTCTGGCATCCAGTGGCCATTTTAAAATTGCAGTAGCCAATAGCTAATGCACCTGCTCACTGTCAAAATAGAACTCTCCCCTTTAGCTCCCTCTGCTGATTGACAGTATGCAGTGCACAACAGCCAGCCTGCTATTGGCTACTGCAATTTGCTGTAACCAATAGCAGGCTGGTTGTTGCTCCTCTCCACTGCCGGCTGTGTTTACATTCAGCTGCCTCAGACAACTGTCATTCTCCAGGTAAAGCCATTTGAAGTGGAAAGGTGCCATCTTAAAGAGAACCTGTCACCTGCAATGTGCCATTACATAGGGGGCTTGATAAAAGGAAAAATAAAGTCTGCATTGAATGTAGGCTTCACAATGCTGTAGAGCATTCCTCCAGTACTGAAGCAATTTGAGAGGCAACTGGTAAGCAATGATGCATTGGTTTACTTAGAGAATTAGGCGGCGAGTGATTTTCACTCAGCCTCATAATCTGAGCCGACCTGCAACAATGAAACTGGGAAGTGAGCGAACACATACCGGCGCTCGCTCACTTCTTGATCATCTCCCTGCAGAGAGCCGTGACAGTCACTCAATGCAGGGATACGCCCCCTCCCGTCCGATCCTCCAGCGCTGACTGGCGGAACGGACGGGTACAGCTTGCTCTGCCCCTGGATAGGCAGAGCCAGCTGTCACTCACGCAACTGGGTGGATTCCGGCACAATTGTCAGGATCTGTTACGGCTGCGACGTCTCAGTATACCGGGAGCTACAGCTCACGGTATACTGAGCTTTGGGTGACGGAGGATGCTAGTTTGTGTCCTCCCGTTACCCGGAGAACTATGGGGAAAAGCCCTAACCCCATAGTACTCCATTAAGACTAATACATGGGGCCCAGGAGAACCCATTTCACTCATGGAGTGGTACATCAAATACAAACCAAAACTATGTAATCAGCTAAATTGTAGCGCAAGTGAAGCAGCAACCATTTCTATGGCACTGCTTATCGAAGCTCGAGTGTATACTAAGCTACATTAAAACTTCCAGACTGGTTTGGACTTCATTTAACTTTTATCACTCAGATTGGCAATGGTAACTTACCAGTTGGTTGCTGCAGTACAGATGAAGAATTGAGAACCGTTTGTGTTGGGGCCAGCATTGGCCATAGACATGATTCCTGGTCCGGTGTGCTTCAGGGTAAAGTTCTCATCAGCAAACTTGTTTCCGTAGATAGATTTGCCACCGGTTCCATTGTGGTGGGTGAAGTCTCCACCCTAGCAGGAAGCAAAAGTTTCATACATCAGTACACAGGGTTAAGTCATCTTCCCAACTCTGTTGCAGCATTCAAAACCACATGAGCTGCAAAATGCAAGTATCTGCCAGTACATAATGTCCATTTACTTGGGACTTGCTATAGACTTCTGCCCAGAGGTATTAAAAGGATGAAAGGCTTTTCTTTCAATCATTGCAGTAAAGCACTCCTAGAAATACTAGACTTGTGCATGTGTCCTGTGTGCCACCCAAAGAGGAACTTTACACATACCTCTGAAATAACAGACCTTTAGAAATGTTTAGTAAATTACAATCTACAGATAAATGCCAGCTTTTTATTCTTTCCATACCTTCCCCCCCTTCTTATTCTTCTGGCAGCAGCCATTTTAACTAAGGGCAGGTTACCAGATCCCCTTTACTTCCTGGAACATGTGACCTTGCACATATCCCAGCAGAGGAAAATGCCTTTCCCTTAGATCTGGTGAGATTACAGATGAGATTTCCCAGCAATGCTCTGCTGATGTGACCTTCCCAGAATGCAATGCTTGGGCACATTATTTGTGGCAAAGTGGGGGACAAAAAAAAGAAGGTTTTTATGCTAATTAATGCAACAAGATTTCATATCAGCATGTAGAGCAACATGCTGAGGTGATTTTTAGTGAGGGGGTAAAGGTCTGCTTTCAGTATTACATGTTTCAGGCTGCAAAAGGTCAAATTCAAGGAGCATGTTTAGGAATAATGACAATGTGGGAACGCTGTAAAACCAGAACCCAAGAAATGGAAACCTACCTGGCACATAAAGCCTGGGATGACTCTGTGGAAGCCGGAGCCTTTGTAACCAAATCCTGGTTCTCCAGTGCACAACTGAAGGAAGTTCTCTGCAGGATGGAAAATAGCCATTTAGCATATTAGCCACAGGGCAACTGAAATATATGTCTGCAGGCTGGCTACATACTGGACACAGTGATATGAACCCCTTGGTCAGCCATTTCTACAAGTGACAATATGTTCCTGACGTTAGAGTCTCATAGGAATTTCCCTTCAGTGTTACAGTTCATGTAGTTCAGAAGACAACCCACAGCCATACTAAAGCTTTATCCCCCCCAGCAGAGCAAGACTAATACCTTCTCTGCAAGTCAGAGCTATAACCCTCCACTCAAAGCTGATCACTGCGGCACGGAGGGGCTTCAAACTCCCAATTGTCACGTTAGCCTCCTTACAGAGAGCAGAGCAATCCAGTTCTGCTGCATGTCAGTGGGAGATCAGACTATTGTGGCTTTAAACTGCTGTACTATCTACATGAAAAGAAATAGGCCAGCTGGTTTTAGCAAAGCAAATAGGATTTTTTTTTTTACCAACTGGGCTTTAAAATTCTGTGGGTGGATGTTTTACTGTTGAACTAAAACAACTTCAAGGGGAGTATTTCTTGCATACATTGCCCAGAGTGTATTAACCCTACTTGTATTTTCTACTCTGGTAGTTACTCACCCGATCCCCAGAGCCAGCTTGCTCTTAGACCGGTCCTTCTAGCCTCACTTCCACAGCGGTCTAAGGTCCTGTAATTCATCATGCTGCATACACTGTATAGACCAGACACTGAGGAACATTGCAATGCTGCAACCTAGGCTTCAGAGACCGGTGAAGCAGAGAGGCGGCTCAGTTAGGGTGAGTAGAAGTTTTTAAAAGACAAATGAGCAGTTAACCCTTGCAGTGCCAAGGTAGGCCCACTGCAGACTAAATTTATTCTTGGCTAAAACTATTGCCAAAAAGTCTAGCAGACCTAGGGCCCCCGGTAAGTCAACATTCACACCCTACTGATTTTTTTTGGGGACTGCGCAGCTCAGCATTACATTGCTTAAATTAAACTTTTGTCAAGCTTTAGAAACAGGAGACCACTTCACATTGGAGAAGCTGAAGAGCTTATATCCCCTAGCATCAGCTAAAGAAACAAAATGCAAGCAAAAGCCTAAACCCCTCCACCCCACAGGAACAACATACCAGCCTAAGCATGCCATGCCACTAGCTCCACCCATTGAAAACCAATAAAGTCTGGTACTTACTGCAGGTCTTTGGACAAACATCAAATCTCAGCTGTAAAGAGATAGAAAAAAAAAAGAATAAAGTCAGAAGCGTTTATATTTGGTATCAGGCGGTTACACTGATGTATGTGACATTTGTGCCAGAGGATAGGAGTCTGGAATGAGATGGGAAGCCTGTTTACTTAAGCTGGCATGTGGCACATAACTGCGATAGGAGGTCATCAGTAACTGCTATTCACCACACCATACCCAGACTCTACAGGCTTAGAAACATTAAAGGGAGACACGCACATGCTCATAGCAGATTATGTTATTAGGAGAGCTCTGATGGAGCCTTGATTCATTGGTGAACAGGACTTAGTTTGTTGACTTCATTTAAAGAACATGTGTGGCCTCTTGGTATAGATTAAAAAGGCACCAGAAGCAAGCTAGAGGGGATTTAGGCTGGCAACAGCTTTCAGTAAATGCAGAGAACCAAGTACAGAAAGATCAGTGTGTGCTGAAAGAGCCAATCAACTGCTTTGATTGAATTAGGTATTGCATCCCACAATGGTCTTTACAATGCACCACAACATGCTGCCTTAGCGTTACATTCAAGATGGAAGCCACATCGCATGTTGTCACACTGCAGTTAAAGCAGGACCAACCCTTGGGAGCAAGGTCTCCAATGCTCCTTACAAAACAAATTACAGCTGGCACCCAACTTTTGAGGTTCTCTAGTCATCAATGGAGCTGGTTCATGGATTGGACAGACTTGCTCCTGATGCCTAATGAATTTGTCCACCTCTCTGCATTAAAGCAGAGATGTAAATCCTAATCTGGGGTTATGTAGTTTAAAGATGGCATGAAACTCAGATTTACAGCAGATTATATTGCAAACTGACACTAAACCAAAAGATTGAAAGCAGGTTAGATGTACAATGATTAACAAACCCCAGCACAAGTCAACAGCCATGGAGCCCATTTGGCATGCCTCATGAGGAGCCAACAGCCATGGACCCGATTTTGCATCCTAGTCAATGTTCCTCTTACAGGTTCTCCCTTAGTAAGCCCCGATGAAGGTAGTATCTAATCTGTACAAGCCCCTGAAACACATTGGCCATGTCTATATACTGTCCCTTCAACAGTACATTAAATATAGATGCATCTAGACCAGGGGTTGGCAAATATGGCACAGCAGCTGCAGTAATACAAATCCCATCATTCCTCTGCATCTGGGAGATAAGTCTGTGGCTCAGTCTTGCAATGCCCCATGAGACTTAGTTCCACAACAGCTGGAGTGCCAATGTTGCCTACCCCTGATCTAAGCTATGGAATGGAGCATGGCACTTCACAAGCTTGCAATCTGTTCTGCAAAGTGTCTATAGAGGTGGACAGCTTGGTAGAGGAAAAGTTCTGCACCCTCATGTCAGCCTCAAGCAAGACCAATGAGCAGCACAATAAGATACCACCAAATCTCAGCAGAAGCGCCTTAGAGCTACTGCAAGTCAACAGCTGCAAGCACAGGAATGCCCATGCAATCATAGCAGAAGTTCACCGCTATTCTTCAGTAGGAATTTAAGACCTTGGCTCGATTTTTCAGGGTATAGCTTGGAGACATGTCTAAGTATTCCCTATAAAACAGCAAAGTCAGGTCAACGTCTCAAAGCAGAGACAAATCCCAGGTAGCCAATGCTACTTAAGAATTACAGCTAAGAGTCTAACCTGACTGTTCCTCTAGTTAATGGCTGCTACAAATCCTGCTTGCTCCTGAATTACAGATTAATTTGGCTACCTCGGGCTTAAAGTGTACACACTAAGCCATGGCACATAGGCTAAAAGATTTGTCTAAGCTACCATCAGGTGATTCTGCTGTGCCATGCAGTTCTCTGCAGTGGTCACTCCCTCTTCATACTAACTGTGTGCAAGGCTTGTGCTCTTTCTCTTTAGGTGTGGGTGATGCGTTTCCTGTTTTGGTGGGAGGAGCCTCTGATGCTGTCCTGGAAAGTGACTAGAGAAAAATCACATGGGTGTGGGACCCCACTGTGATTCGCTGAGACTAGGACACTGCACTTCCAGCACTACACCTCTAGGGCAGGCCTTACGGCTAGCCAGGGGCAATATTTTTGCACTCTGGCCGTAAAGCCTGTCAGCATTGTGCACTGACACTATTTTTGCACATTTTTATGCACGATTGGCTCCTTTTTGTCTTTACAGAAGACAAAGGGTGTGGGTAGCTTTGGGGCCCTTCCTGATGTCAGGTGGAGTGTTGGGGGGAGGAGCCAAGTACAAGAATGATGGGAACCTCTGGCAGTGGACAGGAAATCTTGGAAAAGGTATGACCTGGTTCTTTGTTGCCAGGGATAGAGCAGAGGCTTCATACCAGAACTTCACCCTCCTAACCAATAAATCCAAGGTGCCATCTTTGCATCCCATTTGGATTGCAGTTGCCATGGTGCCGTACATGTGATTAGCTCCAACACCATCCATTCAAGGGCTTTAAAGTTTGATTTGAGAGCTAAAATAAGCACCCAAAAAAACCTTGACAGATGGCATTGCCTTGAACGTTGGTTTTGGGAGACATTAAATCATTGGGTCAAGTTCCTCTAAGTTTTTCAAAGAGCAGTCAAAAAGCAATGTTCTGAAGTGATAGACTAGCAAAGTCTAACCTTTTTTAAAAAAAAAAAAATTAAAATAAAAAGTTTAGCCACCCAAGTTGCCTTCCTGTGGATTCACTTGGGAAGTTTGACTTGTTTTGTCAGCAGTAGTTGAGGCCAGAGCAGCATCTTCCGCACTAGGCCCGTCAACCAATATAAGAGCTCCTGGTACAGTCCTGTAACTAAACCGTAGAGGTGCCAGATCTCAATGCCATAGATAGACTATAGACTAGAGCAGAGAAATCGCAATGCTTCATACTAGCAGATGCCATGACCTCAGCATAGGTTGTGTCAACAAGTGTTACCAGATTAAGACCACCTATGCAAGTATTTTTAGATCTTGCAGGTCTCTTCCCACTAATTGATGTACTTTTTTGCAAGAGGTATCCAGATAAGGCATGCGAAGATAGTCAACATATATACAATACTGAAGAGTGCTTATGGATTCTGGCATAGGTGATGGAATGCAATGAAGTAGAATTGCAGCTCATGGGCAGACCTCAACCAGAGGAGGTCAGCGAATCAGAATACTATGCATGGAGGCCTTCAAAGACTTCGAGTTGTGCAGTTGCCATCAACATACAAGGTTTGTATAGACACCATCAATCTGTCCATCTTTATAAAGTGCTGCATCTAGCAGTTAATTTAGGTCAGACTTAAGGTCTCAACAGATGCAAAGAATTTGGAAGCCATAGACATTTGTAGAGCTTCGATCTCAAAGACAACAGATCCATGCTACATTATGGGTTTTGCTTGATGAGCTTGCTTTTGTTACCAATGCCTGCAATTGCTGGCCAGCACAAGACTCTGGGTTTTAATCTTGTAATTGGGTTGTGTGAATTTTTTTCCCTTCCAATAACAGAACTGACAAGTAGCCCAGAACATCTGTTCCAGCACCTTGAGAGGCTCATTCACATGAGCAGTGACAGGCATTTTTCAGTCATGGATGTGTGCACAATCATGTCTCGCAGTATGCTCAAGTGATGCAACCTTCAAGGTCGCAGAGCCAGGTTACCTAAAGGCAACGCCAAGGCTTACACTTGTGTCCTGAGTGCACGCAATGCAGAACTATTACACATGCATCGCATGTGGTTGCAGGACTACATGTCCAAGTACGCACACAGGCTACACTTCCTTTCATCCACCCAAACATTACTCTTCCCAGCTCTGAAAAGGGACGTACAGGCACCAAATCTGGGCCACAGGCATGCCAGAGTCAGGAAGCCCAAAAACACTAAACCAAAAAGCAGTGGCACTATCTTACCCAAAGACAAAATGAGGGGGAGGTGGGGGTGTAACAAATTAACATATGACCATTAAGACCACAGACCGCTGTCACACAGGCAGCTATATGGACACTGGCGTTAAATAAGATTTGCGACAAAGAATGGTCATAGTAGGAATGCAGGGATTGGTGTGGACTTGTCACCGACTCAGACATGGGTCAGGCAGATGACTGAAAATGCCGACCAGTATGTGAAAGGATAATCCCAGAACCCCCCTATAAAGAGAGCAGTCTGCCTTGCAGACCAGAGATGCACCCAAAACCCCCCCAATAAGACAGCAGTCTGCCTTGCAGACCAGAGAAATGCACCCAGAACCCCCCCAATGAGAGCAGTCTGCCTTGCAGACCAGAGAAATGCACCCAGAACCCCCCCCAATAAGAGAGCAGTCTGCCTTGCAGACCAGAGAGATGCACCCAGAACCCCCCCAATAGGAGAGCACTACATGCAGACCAGAGAGGTGCACCCAGAACCCCCCCAATAGGAGAGCACTACTTGCAGACCAGAGAGGTGCACCCAGAACCCCCCCAATAGGAGAGCACTACCTTCAGACCAGAGAGGTGCACCCAGAACCCCCCCAATAGGAGAGCACTACCTGCAGACCAGAGAGGCACACCCAGAATCCCCCAATAGGAGAGCACTACCTGCAGACCAGAGAGGCACACCCAGAATCCCCCAATAGGAGAGCACTACCTGCAGACCAGAGAGGCACACCCAGAACCCCTCCATAGGAGAGCACTGGCAGACCAGAGAGGTGCATCCGGGATATTAGTGGAAGACCGAACCACCCTAGCTGAAAGCTCCTCAAATCACACTTCCTGTTAAGTACTCCAGTACCCTAACAACCCCCCTCCGTTTGAGTACCTCCTAAACACAACCTTGTTTGAGTGAACCAATACTCCCAGGAAAAGCCCCCCTGCCCTAATCACAGAAACCCGTTAAAGCACCCCAGCAAAAACCCCCCCCCCCCCCCC